ATCAGATCAATACTGAGGACACCTATGAAAAGATGGAAATACAACCATTGTCACAATTCATCTGATTTTTAGCAAATCCAGAGTAATTATTAGCTTGAATCGACCCAAAGCTTCTCACTTGATCCAGCTGTCAGCAGAAGCATCAGAGCTACAGAGAACATGGTTGATGCTGAAGCTGAACTGATGGGAGTTTCTTCCTCTACTGACTGACACAGACCCGTCCCTTCTTTTTAAATGAACATACTTTGCATGTTGTTGAATACATTTCCTTTTCACTGAGTTTATTATTTTGTCTCAGCATCATAGAACATAGAAAATCTGCAGAGCAAAAAATTTACTTTTACATCAATAATGAGTTGAACCAAAGTTGTAATTTTATTGTCAAAGTACCAAATATTTTAAATCTAACTTTAAAATGAGCGCCCTCTAGTGTTTAAAAACAAAGAATTGTCATGGAGAAGTTTTATGGATCTGTTTGAACAGAACTCTTCAGATTTCCTACTATTAAATCAGTTTGTTGGCTGGTATATAATTTCTTTGTTGTAATTCCCGACATTTTTAACCCTCAGTAATTTTCTGACCTCAGTTGCTGAGTGACCTGCCATAAAGTGCTCTAAAGGAAGTCTATCTTTTCATATCTGATCCAATTTGTGATGGTAAAATGGTAAATGGACTGAATTATAGAGTACTTTATCCAATCATTTTTTACTACTAATATAGTGATATATGTGATATAGTTTTGTATCATATTTCTTTGGAAAATGATTGATCTCAACTCCGTCTTATTACTCAACATCTTTGTGGTCTCTGGAGGCTCTGTGTAATCTCTGGATCTCTCTGTCCATGCAAATGGTAGAATCTGAAGTTACATCTTATTCTCTCCTAAACTGTTAACTTGCTGCTGCATCCCAATTGATAACAGTTTAGATTCATTATTTCACAGCTTCATAAACCATTTTGTTGTTTTAATCAGTACAAAACCACTTCTATCCATGTTTTTAGATTTTGCTTTCGAACAAGTCCAGATTTTTTTTTAATTGATGTTCACCAATGTTTTTTTTCTTCTACACAATCTTTCATTTGTACTGCTTTTATTTTTGTTTCCAGGTGCCAACTCAATCTTTCATATGATTTTTTTTTTTTGACACTCATTTCACGTATTTCCGACCATTTAATAATTCAATTCACCCTGGTTCAGTAAACTAAGTTCAATAAATTAGTCTGGTGTTTGTAACATAACAGACAAATTGGCAAAACATAAATAAAAATATATCAAATACCACATTTAGGGGCTCGATTAAATTCAGCCTGTTCTGTATTTTTGCTTCCATTTTTGTACAATCTGTGGATATAACGTGTCTATGCCAATTTTTTTATTAAAGAAAATACAATTTAATCTGAAATGTTCTTAACAATATTAGCATTTACTGTTAGACAATGCAAACATCACCACATTAAAGGTTTTTGTCTGTGGATGTTTTTGTGCAGCTGTTCCTCTGTTTTCAGTCACTGTGTCTCTTCGAGCACAGAAGTAAACAGCAGAATCTTCTGCTGTCAGGCTGCTGATCTGCAGGTACTGGGTGCTGCTAGGGACATTTTCAGTCATGATGAAACGACTTTGGAAGGAACTGCCATAGTCTGCTGAGTTTCTACCAGCATTCATCCTCCCAACCCACTCCAGAGCTCTCCCTGGTTTCTGTCTGATCCAGTGAATGAAGTGTCTGGTCATGTCAAAACCAGAGATGACACAAGACATCTTCACTGTCTCTCCAGGTCTCTTCCCCTCAGATGGAGTCTGGTCCATTTTAATCTCACTAAAGACTCCTGCAAGATCAAAGTTTTTAGTCAATAATTCTTAAACTCTCACATTAATGTTTAAAGAAACAGGTCATTCTCACCATGAATCCAAACTATTAAAAGCAAACTCCAGATGACTGTTTTCTCCATTTGAGACGAAAGATATGGAGACGAAAAATATGTGTTAACTGACTGAATGTGCAGTTTTAAGAGAGGAAGGGTTGGCATGGCTCCTCCCCCTCTATTGCATTTACCTCTATTGCATTTGCAAATAAGATAGAAAGTCAAGTTCATCATAGAGTCAGATGATAAAATACTTTGAATAAACTTCAAATTTTTCAGCGTGTTTGGTGACTTCTCAAGAACATTTGGTTATTTGAGAAAAAGCTGATTTTTGGTGATTAATTGGTTTTAAAAAATGTCTTTTGAGTAATTTATTAGAAGCAGCTGAAAATACTGCAAATAATTATTTCACAGAAAGAAAAAAGCCAGAATAAATCTCTTTATTATTGCTGTTGTTTAGAGATGAGGTCAAAGCAAATAAGATCTACATGCAGGCTAAAACTCACACTTCACTAAATTCAATTTCAAAGAAAAAAAAATGGGGCTGAACAGGGTTCAGAGACTTTGACTAGATCATATGATTTCAATGCGTTTTTTGTAAGTGATAAAAGTGTTTAGTTACTCAATGAGTCAAATTGGACATATCAAAGTGTCTCTATTCACATGCATGCACAGCAGGCTTTCAGTGACATCATCCTGATGGTTGGCTGGTTTTTGTTCAGGCTTCCATGTGCTTCATGTCATTGTGTATCGTCTCACACAGTAATAAACAGCTGCGTCTTCAGGCTGCAGATTCTGTCCTGTTATTGTTACTGTTCCAGCAGAAATGTCTCTGCTGTAGCTGAACTTGTTCTTCAGGGCATCATTTTGGTAAAAGTCACCATTATGTCCCCACATATCAAAAATCCATTCCAGTGGTTTTCCATCACGCTGTCTGATCCAACCTGTTGCAAATACAGCAGTCAAAGAATAACCGGAGGGCCGACAGACGATGGTCAAAGACTGTCCAGGCTGGACAATCTGGGAGTCTGGCTGAATCAGATCGATGCTCAAGACATCTAAGAAAAAAAGGAAACAGAATTGATGTCATAATTCATCAAAATTTTCGTGAATCTAGTGCAGTTATTAGTTTGAATCGACCCAAAGCTTCTCACTTGATCCAGCTGTCAGCAGCAACATCAGAGCTATAGAGAACATGGTTGATGGTGAAGCTGAACTGATGGAGTTCCTTCCTCTACTGACTGACACAGACCCATCCCTTCTTTTTAAATGAACATGCTTTGCATGTTGTTGAACATATTTTGTTTTTATTCAGTTTCATATTTTATCTCTCATATAGAGCACAGCAAACCTGCAGGAGTACAAAAAAGACCTGCAAAGAAATGCAAGAATATTTACATAAATTATCATTCATATGTCAGATCACTTGAAAATAAATATTATATCAGACCTTTTTTTATACTTTATCATATAACAATCCTTAATGAAAGCTTAACATAAAAACATTAAATGAACAAACAAAATAATCTGTTTTGGTTTTAACCATTTTTGGGTGTTAAGGTGCTGATCGATAGTAAATTTCCAAATGCATTAGGAAACAGAAGGAAGAATAGAAAAATAAAAGTAACGTCTCATAGTGCAAACAGACCTGAAATATAATCTGACTGAAAAGGTCAATAAACTAATTCAAAGTTGTAATTTCATGATTGAAGGATCAATAATTCAAATCTAGCAATAAAGTCAGCAAATTTGAATAGATTCTAGTTTTTCAAAAACGTAACTGAGGTTTTCACTCCTTGCAAGTTGAATTTGTCATTTTTAGTGTTGATTTGTTTAAGTTCAAGTTTTTATATCATTGAAATTTAAAAACAAGGAAAACAAACAGCAACAAGAAACATAATTACTTAAAATTCATCTGGTTAAAGATAAACAACGGGATTTTGTGTTTCTTCTGAATTTGGACTCTTCAGACTGTCTGTTCATACATATGTTCATCGGTAAACTTATTTTTATTCTTGTCATTTTCATGTCTGACACTTAAAACCCTGAGATGGACCTTTTTTGACCTCAGTTGCTGAATGTGAATTCAGAGGCCCTGCAGGTCATCGTGTAACAAGTTGTTCATTCAGTTTCTTAATCTGTCAGAATTTCCAGGATTTTAATCCACCTCCAGATTCTATAAAATAAATATGAGCACATCAGAGAACAGTCACTTAATATATGAAGAAAACAAATTAGGTTAAAAGTCCTCCAAATGACATGTCCCTCTTTTGTAAATTGGTATACGTCTTAACTTCTGTCAGAGTTTGGTATCAGTTTTGTTTTCTGAAATGATTGATCCCCATCTTGTATCTTCAGTTTCACACCACGTCTTCATGATCGTTGGGGAGCCTCAGTTACTTCCTGATCTGTCCATCCTCCCTCCCCCTGGGAAATGACAGCATTTGTTACAGTTAGACAACCCAGACATCCCTGCATTAAGAGTTTTTGTCTGTGGATGTTTTTGTGCAGCTGTGCCTCTGCTTTCAGTCACTGTGTCTCTTCGAGCACAGAAGTAAACAGCAGAATCTTCTGCTGTCAGGCTGCTGATCTGCAGGTACTGGGTGCTGCTGGGCACATTTTCAGTCATGATGAAACGACTTTGGAAGGAGCTGCCATAGATGGCAGCGTTTTTACCAGTGTCCATCCTCCCAACCCACTCCAGAGCTCTCCCTGGTTTCTGCCTGATCCAGTGAATGTAGTAGCTGGTCATGTCAAAACCAGACATGACACAAGACATCTTCACTGTCTCTCCAGGTCTCTTCCCCTCAGTCTCGGACTGGTCCAGTTTAATCTCACTAAACACTCCTGTAAGAGAAAATATCTTAGTCTGTTAATCTTCAACTCTCACATACATTTTCAAAAACCCACATAATTCTCACCATTAATCCAAATTACTGAAAGTAAACTCCAGATGACCATTTTCTCCATTATGTAATTACAACATAAATTGAAGGTTGTCAGGAGTTTATTCCAAATAAACCTCTGAAGGTTTTCAGACAAAAACTGAGTCAAAGAGCAGACTGTGCAGCTTTAAGAGAGAATGGGTTGGTGTGGCTCCTCCCCTTTTATTTTCCCAGCAGACAGACAGGAGAGAGCGCAATGTAGTAATCTGAAGTACAGATACAAACATGTTCAGTCCTAAAACATTTCATCAGCAGTCATAGTCATTGTCTCTCCAAACTGTGAACATTCACAGAAGTAACTGAGAAAAACAAACGCAGTTATTCCATGCAGGTGCATCCCAGTAAATTAGAATGTCATCAAAAAGTAAATTTATTTTTGTAATTAACTTAAAGAAATGAAATTCAGAGATATTTATCACATAAAGTGAGATGCATTTCATTTCCAGCTTTTATAGCTGTCATCTAATAATCAAAATGAGCAGAAATGCATTTATGCAGTACAGATTAGCTGTTTTATTGGCTTACATAATAATAATATGATGACAGTTTTTAGTTAGAGGCCTTTTCAGATTTGTTTCAAGACTGACTGTTACTTCCTGCCCACATCACATCACATCAGTCTATGAAGGTACTTGGATGTTAGAGTTACAACATTTAATTTCCAAATCTGAACTGGATTTTTAAACTGAATTGAATAAAGTCACCCAAGAACCAGAGGAAATCTTCAAAGTCTCCTACTATGGCTAATTCTCCTGGGTCAAAGGTCCTCTTTCCAGACTTTGATTAATTTAAAATTTCATTTAGAAAACAAGGTCAAAGAGTCTGGACCTATTTTTATCATCATCCATCAAAAGCTACTCTGCTTAACAGAAATGTGCTACATGTTACTGGTGAGAGGAGATGAATGTGACAGTATCCTGGAGACAGTACAGCCTTTTACTGAGAAGTTGCTTCTTAAATGTTTCACTGCTTTTTTAATTCTTTGGAACTTGCTCACCAAAAACTACACCAAAGTTTATATACAAAATAAAAACATGAAGATAACTCTTTTTATCTCTGTAAAAAGTCTATATTAACTGTGGTCTGATGGCTCCTCCTCTGGTGGCTTTGAAGTATTACAAAAGTATTACAAAATACTTTCTGCAGAATTATAAATAATTTTGCTGAAACCCACTTAAAGGTGTTAAGAGCTGGCGTAAAAAAAATAAAATATGTTCATAAAAATAAATTCCTGTTAACTTAGCTTCATATAATTATGATATAGAGAAGCAGGTGGGTATATATGTAATGTAATAAATTCCATCTAACATGACTCATCAGATTAAAACCTTTAAAAAAGTTGGAAAATCTGCCACACATCTTCATTCTAAAGGGATTGGTTGTCAAATTTAAACTATGCTCACTGAAAATTTAATAATTTAAAGTTTTCAAGTAAAATTTCAGAGCTTGTTAATAATTTATCAAACATGCGTTGTTAAAGTCAGGACAGGATTGCTCTAAAGTCAGTCAGGTCAGGTTGATCTAAAGCTCATGTCTGAGCCTGTCATTCCTGCTAAGATTTTGTTCAGGCTTCCATGTGGTTTGTACCACTGTGCGTCTTCTCACACAGTAATAAACAGCTGCGTCTTCAGGCTGCAGATTCTGTCCTGTTATTGTTACTGTTCCAGCAGAAATGTCTCTGCTGTAGCTGAACTTGTTCTTCAGGGCCTCATTCTTGGTTAAGCTTCCACCACCCCACATATGAAAAATCCATTCCATTGGTTTTCCTTCACGATGTCTGATCCATCCTGTCGCATAGTTATTATCAGTCACAGAATAACCAGAGGGCCGACAGGTGATGGTCAGTGACTGTCCAGGCTGCACAACTTTAGAGTCCTGCTGGATCAGATCAATGCAGTACACACCTGTAGAAACAAAGATAAACGTCAAGGCAGTGGATCATTGAAGCTGTCATTATATCAGATGTAATTATAAGTTTTCTATAAAAAGGAGCTCACAGGATCCAGCTGTCAGCAGCAGCATCAGAGATAGAGAGAACATGGTTGATGCTGAAGCTGAATGGCTGGAAGCTCTTCGTTCCTCTCAGTAACGCAGCGTCTTCACTTCCTTTTATACAAGCTAAATTTGCATATTGTTGAGGGCATGATTGTTTGTACTGACTTTGTTTATGATCAGTGTTTTGATATTTCTTCAAAAAACAATCTGCATCATGACACATCAAGACATTGAAGACCTTCTATTCGTCCAGCGATAAAAAAACATTATTTTCCAATGTTCTGACCGAGATGATCATATTTTTTCTCTGAAGGCCATTTAAATCTGTCACATAGGAGCTGAAGATGCAGATGGTGAATCTATAAGATTTTCAAAGATTTTAACTGTTTGCATTTTGTTTTATCCTTTATCAAATTGTCCCATAACAAATATTAAAAGCAATGGTCATACACATTGCTGTACACAGACATGTTATTACAATAAATTACATTAAAATGTGTTAAACTTTTACCTGGTGATAAAAACAGTTTGTGCCGTTCAAATATTTGTCTACTTTCTATTTCTCGAGGGAAACTTTAACTTGACTTTTCCCTGCTCCTTCTTCAACGGCATTTACTGAAGTGATTAGCCTTCAAATATTTGTTTTTTTAGAAACAGCTGTATTTAAATAATCTTTGTGCCTTTTCACTGCCTTAAGCAGTTCAGTTTAAATGATTTTCAAGCCAGCTAAGGACATATAGGATACATTGAATCCAGGGATCCATCATTTTTTGTTGCTAGTGGCCTTTATTGAATGTTACCACACAGTAACAGGAAGAGAAGGTGAGGAACACATGAAACAAAGAGCTACTAAACTATGAAGCTCCCCAGGAATCTAGATTTCCTTGCAACTCAGTTTTTCCAGATGTTTAACCGGTAGACTGATTGGTTTTAACACCTGATATTCAAGATTTTTGCAATTTACGTTTCAAATAATTCTAATGTAAAAACAGAGATTTTGATAGAAAAAAACATTTCTGGAGGGACTCTATAATTCAGCAAACATGCATTATTAAAGTCAGCAGAGGGCTGTGCTGCACTCAGTGTAGCTGGGTGTTTATGAAGGCCGTGTCTGACTGCTGCCTGCTGAGTTTTTGCACAGTCTTGCATGTGTTTTGCATCACAGTGCGTCGACTCACACAGTAATAAACAGCTGCGTCTTCAGGCTGCAGATTCTGTCCTGTTATTGTTACTGTTCCAGCAGAAGAGTCTTTGCTGTAGCTGAACTTGTTCTCAAGGGCCTCATTCTTGTAAAAGGTCCCACCACCCCACATATCAAAAATCCATTCCATTGGTTTTCCTTCACGATGTCTGATCCATCCTGTCGCATAGTTATTATCAGTCACAGAATAACCAGAGGGCCGACAGGTGATGGTCAGTGACTGTCCAGGCTGCACAACTTTAGAGTCCTGCTGGATCAGATCAATGCAGTACACACCTGTAGAAACAAACATAATCATTAACACACAGTAATTGTCATTGTATCAGATGTAATTATACGTTTTCTATAAAAAGGTGCTCACAGGATCCAGCTGTCAGCAGCAGCATCAGAGATAGAGAGAACATGGTTGATGCTGAAGCTGAATGGCTGGAAGCTCTTCGTTCCTCTCAGTAACGCAGCGTCTTCACTTCCTTTTATACAAGCTAAATTTGCATATTGTTGAGGGCATGATTGTTTGTACTGACTTTGTTTATGATCAGTGTTTTGATATTTCTTCAAAAAACAATCTGCATCATGACACATCAAGACATTGAAGACCTTCTATTCGTCCAGCGATAAAAAAACATTATTTTCCAATGTTCTGACCGAGATGATCATATTTTTTCTCTGAAGGCCATTTAAATCTGTCACATAGGAGCTGAAGATGCAGATGGTGAATCTATAAGATTTTCAAAGATTTTAACTGTTTGCATTTTGTTTTATCCTTTATCAAATTGTCCCATAACAAATATTAAAAGCAATGGTCATACACATTGCTGTACACAGACATGTTATTACAATAAATTACATTAAAATGTGTTAAACTTTTACCTGGTGATAAAAACAGTTTGTGCCGTTCAAATATTTGTCTACTTTCTATTTCTCGAGGGAAACTTTAACTTGACTTTTCCCTGCTCCTTCTTCAACGGCATTTACTGAAGTGATTAGCCTTCAAATAT